AACTTCGGTTCCACCGGTCCCAGGACCCAGTCGATGAAAACGCCGTGAGCCGTCGCTCGGCCTGCTCAGGCGACAGCGGGTCCGGCAGTGGCACAATCGCACCTCCCGCTTCATCATGCACCAACGCTAGCGGGAGCTTTCGCGGAAATGGCAGATACTCGCTCGCCGGCCTTGCCGAGAAACTACTTCGCAACAGATGTGCAAGCAGAACCTGCACTATCAACGCGGCCGTCTGTCTTCCTTCCCACGACGTCTTGAAGCGGTGGAAGGCGGTGTGCGTGTCGTCCCAGGTTGCCATCTTGGAGAGGTGGTAGGCCATGATGCCCAGATTGTTCAGGACCTGCGTCTGTAGTAGACCCAGCGCGAGGACAAAAGCTTGCTGGCGCACGAGCCTGTTGATCTGGGGCAAGACGTGGATATACGAGGCCCAGTTGTGCGGGTCTGTGAGGGTGATGAGGAGGCCTGTCGTCGCTGCGGCGACGCCTAGGTCAATAGAAGGGATATCTTCACTCTCATTTTAGCGAGGGCGTCAGAAGGGGATGTGTGAGAGCTTACACCCGAGGACGGCGAAAGTGGAGAATGTGCCGATCAAAGCTTGGGTCTTCCGGAGGAGTTCGGAGCTGGGAAGCTTGACGCTGCCGGCAGATTGCCAAGACACTGCTCGGTAGGGGAGCATGAGTTCATCGAGTTCGTCTGAGAGGTTTGGGAGGGTTGAGGGGACGGCGGCGAGGTGGGACCAGATAGTTCTTGCATCGGATTCGGGACGGCTGATCAAGGCGCTGTTGACAATATGCGCCAGCGTGTACTTGTCGGAGATTGATTTGGCTTCGGGATCGGGTGCCTGGCAAGTCTGTAAGATGAGGCAACTGTGTTTGTACTAATTGGTTCTTACATGGTGGCAGAACTGAGCTTGAAAGACAAAGGGATTGCTGCATGACATGCGTATGGCGCGGGATACGCAGGTGAGGGCATGGACGTCGGCGACATCACAGTACGACGCGATGCGGTGAATGAGTTCGGTCGGAAGATTCTCCAGAGATATTGCCAGCTTACCATCTAGCGTCAGCGTCTCCATGTTGAGCTCGTTGAAGTTCATGTTCGGTACCCCAAGTGCTGGTATACCGCTGAGTCTTTGGTGTTTCAGATGGGTGATGCCTAGAGAAATAATACGCCATGACCTCTTTGAGGGGCGAGTCAGCTTTTGAACATGTGCACTGGCGCCAATGAGGGGTCGTCAGCGGCATGGCCTCAGACTAGGCTGCAATAAGCAGATATTCATGAAGGCTTATTCCAATATTGATAACGCCCATTACATGATATGAGCAATTGTCGTATTAATATGTAAGTCTAATGCAATTACAATTCATCATAAGAGTCGTCGCAGGCCGTAAAAGAATGAAGGCCGATTCACATCGGCGACGACTATGCCACTTCAGAGCCGACATAGCTCCTTTACTAGTCACACCTAACGACCAGCCGATTGAGTAGAACCGATTTACTGAGCCTTCTTCGCCTTGGCGATTCTGGCCTCGCGCCTGCGCTGGTGGGCTTCGGCACCAGCCTCCGTGTCCATGATATAATCCCACCACCTGAAGCTCGACGCATAGTTTCCGATAAAACTCTCGTGGTGCACATCGTGGTGCTCGGCTCCGGCCCAGAAGGGAAGGAAGTGTCTCAGGGACCAGGGAAAATCGTATCCGGAGTGCGAGTCGATGGCCTGGAACAGGCGCAGCACGATCCAGAGGTACATCGTGAACAGGTGCAGGTCCTTGGTGATGAACACCCAGAGGATGGGGGACCCGACGGTGCCGAGGCCGAGGAACATGACCTCGATCGGGGAGGCGTATTCAGCAGTCATGCCGAAGGGCGCGGAGTAGTAGTGGTGCATCTTATGTACGGCCTTGTACAGGGGCGGCCAGTGGGCGCCGCGATGCATCCAGTAGTGCCAGGTATCTTCGAGGACGAAGAAGATCGCGATCTGGTAGGCCATCTTCCACGCGGGCGGGAAGGGCACGCCATAGTCGAGGCCGCACCAGGTTGCGATGGGGTGGAAGAGCCAGATTTGGGGGAGTTCGACGGTGAAGTGGCTGAAGAGGACGAGGGCGCCGCATTCGAATTGCTCCTTCCATGTGGGGATTTTTTGCTGTGGGTTTGATGTGTTAGTCGCCAGGTCCTTCAAAGCCCGGGTCGGTCTCCGGTGTTTGTGGTGATGAGGATCCTCCTCCTCCGTGGAGCATGGATGGAGCATACCTGTTGAATCTTCCATCTACGGAAATAGGGGATCGCGTCGATTATGATCCACGGCAGACTGCGACCAAAGTAAACAACCTCGTGCATGACGAAGGTCATGATGCCCGTGGCGAGGATGTCGTTCTGCATCCACAGGTACCAGGCTGCCCAAAGGCGCTCGAAGGTGTTGAGCTGGACATTGTACCTGTTGACGTCGTCGAGGACGCCGAGGTAGCTCTGGTGAGAGGCGGTCTGGTTGGGAAACACGACAGTGGCGTTCCTGTAGGAGTTGTGTGTAAGCTCGATGCGACTCTTTCGATTCGGCGCGACTTCTGGTGACCTACCAAGTTACTGAGGTCGCCATGGTATCGGACGCAACCCCTGCTGCAAAGGAATGACAGGAAAACACAAAACGCAGATGCGAAACGCAACTTTGATTTCGAGATGCGAACAACTCCGATGGCAGAGGGGGCGAAAGAAGTATATGAATCAACGCGCCGCAGTGGAGAAGCTGCTTACATCTGTTGGCGGGCTTTGGAACATGTCTCCTTTTTCTCGAAGAAAGCGGCGTGTGTGGTAGGGGTGTGCAGACGCCGATGGCACGATAAAAATTCATCGGCATCCGCTCTGGTGTGGTACGACAACTTGCATGTTTTCCAACGAATCCAGGCCCTCAGGGGACCCCCAAACCGAATACGAATGACATTTGGACTTTGACACTTCCATTGGTTGAGAGGCACAATCGATCAGATTGGCGAATCTGGAGACGGGAATTGATCAAATTTGTGTGTTTTTCCCATCAAACTTGAAAGGTTCGCAGCTGAAGAGCAGGCGATTGAGACCCATTTTTGAGAACGCCTTCACCCCGGGCGACCCACTTCCCGGTGGTGTGTTTGTGGTGTGATTTTCCTCGCCGCCTGTTTGGCTCCGAGATTACCGGCTTTAAGGGGAAGCTGGACCTGCGCATGTTTGACTGTTGGGTGTCTGTGCTGGTGAATATTCGGTGAGTGCATGTCTTGTTCATGATGAGTGGTGACGAGCTGGAAGACTACATCATGAGGGTTATGATGTTTTCGTCCAATTGACAGCAGCCATGTTGTGGATTTTGGTTCAGTGATCCCAGCCACAATCTGTGATCACTGTGAATCACTCTGTGAAGGTGATGGACCTGTCCAGCTGAAGCCCAGCGTCAGCCCCACTCCATGATGTGATTGTGCGTCGGCATCGGGTGCCAATCATCCGGGGAACACCTCCACTTCGGCCGGTGTGTCTTGATCCTCTCGGAAGCAGACCGGGTCTGCGAAGCGGAAGACGCGTTCTCCGACTGAGGGTCACGCCCCATACGGCGAGAGACGCGCGGGGATCACGTTATGCTCTCCCGGTCGTGTCCAGGGCGGGCAGAAGTGGAACCTGTCGGCGGCCTTGATGGGTAATCAGCCGGAGATGGGTGCGTCAGTCTGGACTTGCGGTGTGGAGTTGATTCAATTGAGAAGGATCAGTTTCTGGCTGAGATCTTCAATGAGAAGCCAAGGGCTGATCTATTTGACTTCCCAACTATCCCGTCGGCTTCCGCATAACGCCCGAAAGATTTATCCACCTTCTGGTCCAGTTTTACCCCCAAATCCAAGCATCTACTCTGGATTACTCCGTTGGTTGTCAAGAATTGCGGTGTGCTCCTCAGATTTATGCCGATTACATAAGGATATTCATTATTCCTACTCCACCAAAGGCGTACGAGCGTCTCGTACAGCCCGACGGGATACACTTGTAAGAAAGTATGATTGATTAATTGGCCCCATGACAACAACCAATCAACTCCGATTACTAGCACAATTGCTCGGGGACTTACTGATCATTTCCCCAACTTCTATCTATAAAAGTTCAAGTTCATCCGAGTGTCAGCCCAAATCCCAATATCCTCAACGCAACTCTAACTACGCTTTTGTTATCTCTAAACGACAATCCATTTCAAGTTCGCCAGGTGCGCGGAAAACGACTCAACTCTCACACTGTCCCAACGACAATTCTAACACTACACAGAATGAAGTTCCTGCTCTTTGCTATGTTCACCGCGCTGGTCAGCGCCAACCCGGCTCTCAAGACTTACGCGAGAGACTCCGCCGAACTTCATCATCTGGAAATCCGACAAAACTGCGCTTACTCCATTTGCCAAGGCGGATGTGGAACGTGCTACCAAAACACCAATGTTTGCTGTCCCCGCGACATCAACCAATCCTGCTTCCAGTTTTCTTGCTAAGAGGGCAACACGCCAAAGCTGCGGGAAGAGACGGTGGGGAAATGATGTGATAGTAGAAGTCGGTTTTGTGCAAGTGTTGCTAGCTTTGGTTCAATCAACGTTGTACGAGCCTACCCCGTAGATTAGACCTCAGCAACAAATTTCAACAAGGGCATATTGACATCTCTCGCAAATACCCCTCGGCAGAATTGTTGACGTCACAGTATCACTTCTTGGTTTGGACATTCTGGCCGCCTAATTCCAGCGAGGAAAATTGGAACAGATTCGCCAGACCCTCGGAAAACCCGATGGCAAAGTCACTGCAACTGAAAATGGTTAGCTGATTGATGACAGTCGAAGGATCTTATTCTGAAATCTGTGTCTTGTCTGCTAGGGTGCTGCCAAAAAGAGTTTGATGACTGTTTACAGTAAAGGATTTCTAGGTGGACCCGACACCTTGGCCACGGGCGTACTTTAGCGATGCTCTCAGCAACCACTAGCGAGTGGACCAACTCAGGCAGGTCAAAGCCATCCCTCAGATAGTCTTTCTAGGTTGAACCTTGACATAAAAATTCTTGGGCTTCACAAAGAAAACATTACAGGTTTCCCAAGATCCGCCAGGCGCGGCAGCCGTGCCCTCGAGCTTGAAATCGAAATCGCGAACAATCCTGGGGATAAGCTTCGAAATTTCGAGGACGGAAATATTCTTGCCCAAGCAGGTCCGTGACCCCAAGCCAAACTGCCATAAGTTTGAGTCAGCAATCGATGCGCCAGCATAGTCACGGCATTCGTCCTTCTCACCGGCGTCCAATTTCTGTTCATGACGGAAAGTTTGGCCTCGTCATTGACCAACCAACGATCCGGTCGGAAGCGGTCAGCGTCATCTCCAAACAAGCTCCTATCACGGTGCTGGACCCAGCTGTTGATGCCGACGACCGACTGTGAGAAGACAGCTACTGTTAGCTACCGAACAGCGACTGACTCGGGATGGTAAACATGACTCTTACCCCTTCGGGAAAGAACCTTCCCTCAATCGTGGCGCCACCTTCAGGCACGACTCGTTCTAGTGGTATTCCAACGGCCGGATGAACGCGTAAAGCCTCTTTAATAACCGCTTGGAGGTACGGCATTTGCTGGCTTTCCTTGAATGTAGGTGCTTCCGAAAGCTCACCACGGCTCGTGAACTCGTCAATTTCCTGACGTAGCTTCCCCATACTGTCTTGGCTTTTCAGCAAGTTGTAAAGGATAGCTGATAGGCTGAGGCCTGTGGTATCGGACCCCGCAAACATGTTGGCTGCACAGCCCGCGAGGACATAGTCGTTGGTAAACTTGGGATCGCTGGAATGCTTAGCCATGAATTTGGTGAGGAAACTTTCTTTGGCAGCCACCCCATCTTCTTGGCCCTGTACATCAACAACCAATTTCGGGGATGCTCGTTCGTCGTCAATTATCTTCTGGGTGAATTTCGGCACAAACAGGGCCGTACCATCGCCAAAGAAACGGTCGAAAGCACTTAAGATCGACATTGCATACTTATGCCAGGAGGGGAAAATGCCAACCACGCTAGAGTATATTAGGGTCATGTTGATATTCTCCATCACGTTGGAGACATCTTCTCCCTGATCCAGAAACCCGAGACGTCTCCCGTAAGTCATCATGGCGATAGCATCAAATGCAAAGCACTGAAACCAGTGACCGAAGTCAGCTGAGATTCCTGCTCTCGAAAACTCGCCCAGTCGCTGGCAGAAGAGAGCCCCGCATTCGTCCAAGTAAGGCTCGTAATGGACGAGGGAAGTCATCGAGTAAGGGCTAGAATAGAACCGCCTGGAATCGGCGTGGCGCTTGATATCTTGCTCCGCAAAGATGTTCACCAGCCTATTGTCAGGTGTCGATGCGGAATACCAGTCTGACTTGCGGAACTGCGTCGCGTGGCCGTAGATTGTTTTTGACGACTCCGCGTTGTTGATGCTATACCGATTTGGACCATAACGGACAATGGAGCCTGGGGAAAGGATGGTTAGTGAGTTTTGGAGTGTAGAGACAGATTGGTTCTACCGTATTGTTCATGCAGCTTTATGTTGACCTTTTCAAAGCTGCCCTGCCTGACATGATAAAGGTACCAGAGGTCGGTCACGCGTGCCAGGAATGGCCCAGGCACTGATCGGAGAGGACTTCTTATCCAGTTCACCAAGGCAACGGTGAACTGGACAAGAAATGCGAAGGTCCCAATGGCCAATAATAGTTGTACATTCATCTCAAGGAAAAACTTTATATGGGAAACAGAACGTAAAGGTGGGTGCTGTATAATAAGACAGCAGAAGGGGTTGGAAGAATGATTTCTGTACTGGGAGAGAAACCTGATGCGGAAACAGGGCAGAAGGACACGTTATATAATTTAATGAGGATGACAAAGCATTTTCTAGTAGTACGTTCGTTCAGGCGAGTCATAAACGGCATTCAGATACCGGTATGGGGATTAACTAGAGGATCGTCAAGTACGAAGCGTGGCCCGGGCAATTCGGAATTGGCAAATGTCCGACACCACATCAACACCCAAAGTTGCAAGCCGTATGTCCGCCCCATTGGGCGGCTAGAGAAGGACGATGCATAGGACCGCTGAATTGCCTTGAATGCTGCTTGAATTGCGTCTATCGTGTACTATCGTGCTTGCGCAAGCTTACTTTGAAAAACAGCGTCAGGGTGGCCGAGAACACATCCAATGCTCGAGACCAAAAACACGGATAAGCGACCGACCACGATCTGAGAAATAGTAATGACAGCTTCATTGAAGCAGGTAGTGAGATCAAGTATCACTTTTTCAGTCGACCCTTGACCGTTCTCGTCGAAGTCAATACTAATTCCCCCGGGCATAGGCCCGGATTGCAAGTTCCATGCAAACTCTCATCGACAAGGCCTTTTCATTGGATTTCCCCCCAGTCCTCCGTACTTCCGCTATTTTTGCGTCTCGGCTACCCACCTACTTGACTTGGGAATAAACTACCGAACCCGCCTTGGCCAGCAAGGCCAAGTTTCTCCCGGCAATGCCGCCCCCGGCTTCCCCGCAGCACCAGGTGACGGGGCCGCCCGGGCCCTGACGTAGGATCTGGCCCGCAAACTTGTCATCCCGGCACAACGCGTTATGACACCCGCTTCCAAGTTCCAACTACTAAAGAGCAACTACCTTATCAGCCATGCGTCGACTCTGCTCCACCAGGGTAGCAATAGTTGTGCTACCTGGCTTAAAGAACGTGGCGTCACGCATTTCGCACTCGATGTTCTGTATCTTGCCCTCCGACCATTGGTATAAAGCTCACACAACAAAATGAGCCATCTCACCCTTTTGAAACGACTTGCCGCCGACGGCGTCAGGCGGAGCGTCCTGTTTTGCCTCAAATAATGCATCCATGACGACAAACGATCTGTCCCCCTGCAGTTTGATCGTTCGGATACTCAAGGTTTTTGTGAAAAGGGTATGCGTGCGGCGTAAGTGTTCCAGGAAGTTAATCCGCCCGCTGACAAATTGCTTGTCCGGAAGTAGAATCGACACGTCTTCGTGGTAGTAGGACCCGACCTTGTCGTACTCAGCGTCACTGTATGCCTTTAGATATATCTTGAATGAGTCCAAGTTGTTTGCAGCCATCGTGAGCGCTCTTCTATGTGGTTCTCTCAGTCGAGACTGTGCTTTTTCAGGAACTGCCGTCTGTGGATCGTGTTGGCGAAAATTTTCAATAACCCGCTCTCCTCCGCATCAGGCAATGGCTGTGCAGGAGCTTGGGACAGATTTATACCTTGGGTCGAACTTCTTACAGATGTTACAGTGAGCTCGTCCATTTGGAACTACGAAAGACGCTCGGCTGTGGGATCTAAATAGCCCGCCCGGCACCGCAGCACCTTCTCCTCTGACCCCACATCTCCCCGAGGCCGTCTGTTGGCCGTCTCCCAACCCCCCCCCCCCGAAGCCGTTTGTCGGCCTTCTCCACGCCTCCCCGAGGCCGTCTGCCCACGCTTATCGCACCACTTCCGCCGTCATCCTTCAGTATACCACTAGCAAATGTGGTTAAATCACACGACCTTTTACTCGACATTGTGGAGTAATTAAGCAGACCTGCGATTCGCACTTACTTGTTGGAACAAAGTCATAGCAGTGCTCATTAGGTCAGACGCAGAGGACTAGTGGGCTTTGTACTTAAACACATAAACAACGATGCTAAGCATATTTCTGGAAGTCCGTCGCAAGTTAAATGTACCGTATAGATCCACAGCCATCATGACCACCAAGACGATCGGAAATGCAGTCGGGAAACAAGCAATAAATCCTTTAATGAGCCCAAACAAGAGTTTGTTGTAAGATGCACCTGGCTTCTTGTTCTCCAAAGGCTTCATTGTACATCGCCGCAAAGTCTCTCTCTTTTCCGTCCCCTCTGACTTGAATTCGGATACATCTTCGGTCTCGTTCATGATCGCTCTCATCCAATCCTACAGCTGATACAGACGGACGATTTGCTCTTACATGTTCTCGGGCGCAGCAATAACAAGGTTGTCAAAAATGTGCCGAGTCTAGTGGTTGCAGCTGGCAGTTGGGTGTTGCTCCTGCTACAAGCAAGCGCCCTGGCCTTCATAAGACAAGCCTTGAAACCCGTCAACCAGGAAAGCGGACATATGATCCAGGCTAGTTCATCATGACTCTTAACCCCATCATCAGGAAGAAGACCATAACCAATCGATTGATTAGTGGGCACTTTTAGCGACTTGTCTGTTGTTCTACCCCTTCTACATCCTTTCCACGAGGTTATTAGGGAGAAGCCGAAATCCCGTGTGAGACCCCTTGTTGAGTATGTGGCGCATTGGATGTTGGGAATTCCCTAAGGAGCGTTGTAGCACGCTCAAAAATTTAGTTCTGCCCCTAAATGGTTTTATGTATTCAAGAAAGTCCTGATCGGGGCAGGTGACTGGGGCTGGTTTGGGCTTAATGCGTGAAGTCAACTCTACAACTTAACATCAACTAGATACTTATGTCGAGGGCGGATTTAGCCAACGAGTGGGAAGTCCCTCATCAAAGAGACGATAGACTGGAATATGATCGAGCTTGATTGGAGCATAAGTCTTAGTGTAACGCTGAAGTCATTAGCTTAGCTAACCTTTCCATAACTAACAACTAATAGTTAGTAATTATTAATTAATAAGTAATACTTAATACTTAATAACTAATAACTAATAACTATATAATAATTATTACTTCATAGTTAGTAGCTAATACTTAACAGCTAATTATAAGTATTTAATAGCTAAAAGCTAACATTTAATACTTGATAACTTATAACTAATAGTTAAGAATTAATAATTAAAGATACAAATAATAATAAATAGTACTTAATACTTGATACTTAATAACTAGTAACTAATAATTAATAACTAGTAGCTAACGTAAATGATAAGCAAGCCGAACAGACAAGCAAGCTGAACACCCAACCGCAACCACATTATAAATATAATCATCAAATAACCACAAAAACTATAAATCAATTAAAACTACTCAGAAACCTCTTCATTAGACGTTTCTTCAACAAATTGACATGTTCGCGCATTATGACCGGTGTTCCCACAGACGCCACACCGCCGTTAGCCTGTCTCAGTCCTCTGTTGGTGACCACTACTCCGGCGCGTTTCCTCCTTAATCTGGGCTGTCGCCTCTCTCTGTGATTAAAGGTCCTCTGCCTCAGCTATAGTAAGACTTCCGCCTTATTTGAGATAGGTTTTCTTAGCCCTCTGGCGTCAGCTAAGCAGGTTATTCTCCTCTTATAGGATCTGGACCTCTAACCTTAATAAGGCAATCTGATGTATAAATCCTCGCGCTCCCTTTGATAAATGCTTAACAGCTTTAATAATTGAAGTTAGTGAGCTATTCTGATGGCGGGAGATCCTCCTTTTGATAAGTTCAGACTGAGAAGATGCTTCTATTAGGTTGTTTAGCGTCTGAGAAGTCCAGCAGGAGGTGTTATTAGGAGCAACCCTAGAGGTGTTAGAGTGTGTAACTTAACATCAAGCTTTGAAATCACACTTTCAGCACTCAGAGGGATAAGGCCAGCCCCTCTAAAACCTCCCTATATGTTTTTCTCTATAAGAGCCTGTGCGAAGGCCTTATGAAACGCAGGGAAGAAGTCTTCCTTTATAATATATATATTACCCCAGCGTATCTTATCCTTAATTTATTGACCATAAGCCTTCTTCAGTAGCCTAAAACATCTAATATCTAAGGGCTGAAGTAGGTGAGAGGAATAGGCTGGCATATAGAGTGTGATGATATTGTTTTCCTTGCAATATATCTCAAAATCAGCAGCATAGTGACTTTTATGCCTATTAACAATAAGGAGGCGATAATTGCTAGTTGCACGCAGCTTTATATGCTGATTAAAGTGCTAGAGCTAATCTAGGCCTCTTTTATTTATTATCTATCTATTTTCAGACGTTATAATAACCTAGTCGCATAGTAGATTGGTTTCAGTATACTAGGTGGAGAGGTGATATTAGCCTGCAATAATAATATATAGCAGAACGCTATAGCCTGACGAACTGATAGCCTGAATAATTATAACCTATTCATAATTACTAGGCTGCATCAGTTTCATATTTAAACACCTTTCAGCACTTATAACGACTATTCCAGATATAATCTAGCCTATTATAAACCTAGTCTTATTAAAGTTATAGATATCAGAGTCTATAATGCTATATTTTGCGATTATGTTCGCCATAAGGCGAAACCATATATTTATTCTATCTAGATCTTCGCATTAGGCCCTCTTATAGTCATACTTGCGAAAAAAGCGCATCTAGAGCTATAGTTGTCGCTTAATAAAGTTCGAAGCCTAGCGCTTCCCAACTGGGGGCGTATCGCAGTCAGCAAGCAGTCGATTAGCTATATCTTTAACACCACCAATCTGAGGAGGAAACGATTAGGAATCCAGGTTGAGAATATACTTAACAAGCTTTTCTTCTTTGAGTGTAATTAATTTCTGCGAGTTAGGCGTAGTGTCGCGTCGTGATAATCTTCCCTTCAATCGATCGTATAACGTTATAACTAGGACTAAGTAGATCTAGGCAGCCTCTCAGATACTGAGACTTAGTGTGTTTTTGATAGCTTAGACTGCTAGGACCACTTAAGCTTCTTTTTGTGTTGATGCTATTATTATTATGGGATTAACATGTGGTAGAAGTAAGAAGATGCTGTGGTTGCAGTTGGGTGTTCGGCTTGCTTGTCTGTTCGGCTTGCTTATCATTTACGTTAGCATTTTAATATTCTTCTTTAAAATTAAATCTTTTATAAAAACTTTTATATTATTTAATTACTATTTATTCAAAATAGAAAATCCTTAAAGCATGTTATAAGTATTTTATTTGAAAATAATAAAATACTTAAAGATATATATATGTAAAATAAAAATCCCCTATATATGTAATATTTCATTATTCAATTTATTTAAAAAAATATTTAGTAATTCTAATTACTAGTTAATAATAAATCAAATCTATTTCTACTCAGAAATTTGAATATTACTCCAAATCTATAATTAATAATCTAAAATAAGTTAAAACGTTTAAAGAAATTATAAGCTCTTTTGATAATCTAAATTACTAAATAGTATATTTATATAAACCTTTTAGTTAATAATTATTTTAAATTTTACTATAATTTATTTTATTTTAAATACTTAGGTTAAATAATTTAAATTATTATAGAAAACTATAAAATTAGCTTATTAGTTTTTTTATAGAAATCGTAATGTTTTTAATAAAATATAATAAATTATAAATAAATTTCTTTCTCTAAAGGTTTATAAATAGCTAAATGTTTAACTTTAATTATTAAATAAAAACTGTTTATTTAGATTTTATGATAATATTAGTTTTAATATAATAAAACTTAAATCTCTATAATATTAGGTTTAACTAAATAATATAAACTAAAAATAGAAGATATTTATATTGTTTTATAGCCAAAATAACTTTTAAATTTAGAAATATTTTATATAAAAGCTAATTAACTAGAGTATATTTAACCTAACAAGTAAAAATAATATATATTAATATATAAGCCCTATTCTTTATAATATATACCTTAGGGAGTAATCTAAGCCTAGCTCTAACGTTAAAAAATAGAACAATAATAATAATAATAAAAATCTAACTAGTAGAGAGAACGATATACTTAGAATCAATTTGGTCCACATCTCCTCCGACTTTGCGTCCGGTTCTCCCCTAAACACGCTCTGGTATATGAAAAGCTTCTTGGCCGTTCTCTCGGGCGGCATCCATGCCGGCAGGCTGGAACTTGACTGTGACCGTAGGACCAAGCCCAGAGCAGCCACGAAAGCAATTTGGACAGTACAAGAAGCACAACCGCGACTCGAGTTAGTATGAAAGGACTGTGCTTCGGCCGGAACGTCGTCTGCTCCACGGCTTCTGAGGACTCCAGCAGGTTGTGCTTTCTCCTCGTCCATAGAGGACGTCTCTATTGAAGATCGCGAACCTTCCTCGTTGTCCATTTTGGTTTACCACAGGTATCAGAGAAATAGAGGGATGGATACAATCGATGTCATCGGTAATAGAACAAAACATATCTGATTCTTTTGCTAGCACAAC